TGGCCCTGCTGGTCCCTCAATTGATGGTCTGAAACCTTGGGTCTCTTCCCTGGACACAATTTTCTTCTATTTCATTTTTTTATTAACTATCTCTCAATCTCTCACTCTCTCTTTATATATATATATATATATATATATATATATATATATATATATATATATATATATATCATCTTTTATTATATAAACTAAGCGAATATATGCATGTTGCACAAAATAAATTTATGTAGTTAAAATTCCGCAAGTACATGTTGAAAGTAATTATGTTGTTAATACTAACTATGAAATAATAGTTTCTTACATTAATTTATTATGTAAAATTGTAATGATTTTTAACAATGTTATAACATGTATTAAAATCATATCATCTAATGGGTGTTACTCGTAGCCGACATGTAAATAAAACTAAATATAATTATCGATTTAATGTTATTTTTAACATTATGATTAGCAAACATAAAATTACTTATTTAAAATTTTTTTGTAAGATAAAGTAATGTAAATTATAAAGTTATGTTATTTTTACTATTATTATTTTTAATGGTATAATTTAAAAACCATTTATTTGGAACATTTCAATTATTATAAAAAACTAGTTTTATATATTTTTGTTAATCCGATATTTGAATTTAGTTGTATATTTAAAATATATAAATGCTTTAAACTATTTTTAAAAATAATGTTTGAATATTTTTAAGTTTACTTCATAAACTATTTAAAAAAAAATCAATTTTTTAAAATGTTTTTACCTACTATAAATATACGTACTCAAAACTCATTTTATACAAACCTTAGTCATTTTTATTCATATCACCCTTATTAATATTTACAAACCACAGTCACATAAAAATGTCATCATCAGAAAAGAAAATAAATTGTTGATTAATATATGTATGATAATTGTTAACTCAATGAAAAGAGTAGTCAACATTTTAGAAAATATTGAAATTAAAAGTTCAAGTGCTACCCAGAGAGTATTATGTTGCAATGAGCTCTTATGACACACATCTTCAATGAGCATGTTGTTATGATAGAGAAGCTTTCCGTCAACGATTTAGAATGGAGAAACATTTATTTATACATTTAGTCGATGATTTGGAGATTGTGTTTCAGACAATGTCCCGATGCAAGAGGCTATTAAGATCAGGGGCGGACACAAGAATTCATACAAATTGTTATCGGGTTTGAAGTAGGTGTTGCCGGTGCAGAAAAAATAGGTAAAAAATAAAAAAGATTCCCACCGCATACTAAAAAAGTAAATGTTGGTGGCACCACACTAGGACACTAAGAAAAACCACCACTGATGAAGGTTTTACTCTAATGTAGAAATTCATAATTGTAGTTTTTCAATTAGCATATGGTTTGGTATCAAGGTTGATAGGATGAATATTTTCAAATGTATGAGCATGACGCACGTGAAATCATTAATGATTTTTAAATATGTATCATTACAGTATACATGACCAGATATTTACATAAGCTAACTCTCACTAATGTTCAAAAGTCATATACTCATAATATTAACATGCATGGCTTTTATAGAATGTTAGGGAGTTTGAATTGCCTTAATTATGAGTGATAAGGTACACCTAACAGTGATATTTGAATTTGTGGTGTCACAAGATTTGTGGATTTGACATGTCTTCTTTGGTGCTATTGTTCAAACAATGATTTCGACATTTTGGGTATGTCACAAATATTTGATAGGTTCACACCTGATTGTCTTTTCAAATAACCAGAGTTAGACACAATTATGGGTATTATGTTATCGATGGAATCTATCATGAATTTGTTATGTTTGTGTGATCATTGACATGTCCTGTCCATGAGAAACACACGAAGTATAAAATAACACAAGAAAGAGCTACAATGGATGTTGAACGAGCTTTTAGACTCCTCAAGAAGCATTACACATACTAGAATTTGGAGCACGCCCACAAGAACTATGAAAACTCTAAACTATTATGTATACCTTTATCATACTACATAATATGATCTTAGAAAATGAGTGAAAGATGATATGTACGAATGAAGAGAACGAAAGCATCCCTTCAACTGTGTAAATATAGGCCGGTACCCCACCGTATGTGGCAAGATAAAATGGAGATGCGTAATGAAAAATATTACAACCTTCAATACAATGCCACCGGACAATTACAAAGTTTTTATGGATTGAAGGACTTTATTTTTAATTTTAATCATATGTTTTTTTAATGATATGTTTTTTGAATTTTAATGTTATGTTTTTTTAATGGATGACACCGCTCCCTTCATATGACATGGACGGTAAATGCATACATAGATCCTAGGTGGCTGGAAAAAGTATATGGAAAAAAAATACATCACTCCCCTTAGACTAAGATTCGGTAGGTACTAGGGGTGAGATTTCAAACCGGAAAAACAGACTAGAACCGAAACCGGAATCGGATCAAAACCGGAACCGTTACTGGAATATGTAAAATTGGTCCAAGTTCCGAGTTTAAAGAATGAATTTATCCGTGTAATCCGGGTTCCGAGTCTGGTAAACCAGGTTTAACAACCGGAACTAGTGTTAGGGGAACTAAAACCTATTTTAGAGACCGAAACCGGTTTCTGTGAAAAGTTTGAAATAATCTTATCTTATTCGTTTGAAGTCGAATTAACATGTTGTTTTTTCCAACGTGTAGTTTAAAGTTTGTACATGAGTTTAGACTATATTTTTTTCATTTTGATTTTATACTCATTGAATTACAGTCCTTTAAAGTTGGGATGTCAAAGCTATAAATTTTCTATTTTTTTTAGCTTTTTTTGCATTCTTTGAAAATTTTAAAGCATCTATATCTGATTTTCTTGAAGTCGGATTAATATGTGGTTCTTTTCAACGTATTGTTTAGAGTTTGTAATTCATTTTAGACAATAATTTTATCATTTTTGGCTTCGTATTCATTGACATATAATCCACCGAAGTCGGGATATCAAAGTTGAAAATTTTCTGTTTTCGGTCTTTTTTGTTTTTTGTGAAAATTTCAAAATGACTAAACTGCACAAATGGTCGCTGTAGTTTTCTCAAAATTGCCACTTTGGTCGAAAAAAGTTTGGACTAGCACCATAGGTCTAAAGTTTTCATTTTGTTGCGTCTTTGGTCCAAAGGCTTAACCTCCGTCTATTTCCTCCGTTAATGTATGTTTGACTTGTCAAATTGTGGGCCTTTTGGTGATTCCCTATTTATTCCCATTATTTAATATTAATAAATGAGTCCTATAAGATCGAACCTACTCAACCTTCTCTACTGTCGTTCTCATCATCATCTTCTTCTTCTCAGTTGACCTAAATCAACTATTTTTTTCTTCTTCAAGAAATCAAAATCAAAATAAAAAATGGTGCTTTATTTTTGTGGTAAAATGGCTGTAGTTCACACCTCATGGACTAACAAAAATCTAGGTCGATGATTCTGGGAATGCCCTACTGAAGTAAGCAAAAGATTTTTGATTTCAACATAACTCTCCCATTACATGTTACGATCTGATTTTGTTTCTTCAATTTTGAAGGGGTCCAAATGTCAATTTATTGGGTGGTTTGATGGTCCAATGTGTGAACATTCAAAAGCTATTATACATGGGTTGTTGAGGACAATCAACAAATTGAAGTCAAAAAACACAAGAATCAAATGTCACCTGCTATGCAATTAGATGTTGTTTGTGTTTGTTCTGGTTTATAAGAAGTAGATTGAACTCTAACAGTTTGGGTAGTATTTTAATGTTTTTGGTAGTATTTTTTTAAGCAATGTGATCTTTTAGGTAATACTTTGTGGTAGTCTTTCGTAGATAAAATGTAAGTAATGTAAGACATGTTTTGCAATAAATTGCCAATGGTAATTATATTTGGTATCTATATTTTGACCATTCTGTTTTGTTTATGGTTTAAGCATTGTCAATGACAATTGTATGTTTTGTTTAAAAGGGCACAATGATCAAGTTATACAACAAGAAAACGCACATGAGAATAACATCAAGACATTAAACATAACATAAGCCATTAAATCAAATCCAGTCTAAATTGTTCCCATACATCACAGTACACTATATCAAGTACCAAAAAAGAACATCCAAATAGCTTAAACCCCAAAACACATCAAGTACTAAACATACAATACACATAAACATAACATTATCCCCAAAAGAGACTTATACCCCTTCATACATCAAAATACCTTCAGGAAGTAAGAATTAACAAGACTCAGTTTGATCCATTATTTGCACTAAAGTAATTGGGGAATGAGACAAGGTACCTTTTGGGATAGGACAAAAATATAAAAGTAAGAAGGAGTTAAAGGAAAAGATACAATTGCATGCAATGGACATGAGAAAGAATATACTCTTCAAGAAAAACTACAAAATAAGGTTAAGGGCTCTCTATAAAGGAACTGTAGCCTTTAATGATGGCCATATGGTTGAACTTACCTCTTGCCCTTGGGTGATACATGTACTATCTACTATTAATCTAGAACCTTGTATCACCCAAGGACAAGGGGTAGGTTCACCCACATGACCATCATTAAAGGCTACAGTTCATTTACAGAGAGCCCTTAACCTTATCTTGTAGTTTTTCTTGAACAATATATATTCCTTCTCGTTTGCAATGCATGCAGTTGTACCTTTTTCTTTAACTCCTTACTTTTATATTTTTGTCTTATCATAAAAGGTACTTTGTTTATCTCACCTTGAGACTATCTTGTCTCCTTCCCCAATTAATTTAGTACAACTCTCATTTTTCTTTCAATATCAGAACCTCATCCAGTGAATCCCATTGATCATTATCTATAACATCCAATTCTTTAAGGTCCTCCTCACTCACATTATCTATATGGTTTGTTACTTTCATTTTTCAAGAAATTCTACTTCAAGATCAGTATTCATGTAAAAATCCCCCATATCTACTTCTACATCAGGGATTTAGTTGTCTTCATCCACCCAAAATTCACTGTCGTCACTATCCTCACTCTCATCATTTCTTTCATCATTCTATTCATTAGTCTCTGTCTTATCTTCATCTTTAATTTCATCATCAACTGCAAAATCTCTTATCTCTACATTTTCCTTAATTTCATGGACCTCAACATCTACATTCTCTTCATTGATTTCGTTCATTTCAATGAATTCAATGAATTTATTCATTTCATTGAGTTCTTTAGTGACTTCCATATTAACTGCATTGTCCTCACCTTCATGGACCTCATTATCTACATTATGTTCATTGACTTCCATATTAACTGCAAAATTAGACTGTAAAATATGTTGGTACAACTCAAGATCAAATTCATTAGCTACCTCATCAAATTTCATATTAACTACATTGTCCTCACCTTCATTGACCTCATCATCTACATTCTCTTCATTGACTTCCATATTAACTGTAGAATTCGACTGTAAAATCTGTTGGTACAACCCAAGATCAAAGTCATTAGCTGCCTCATCAAATTCATTAAATCCCTGGTCAATATCATTAGCTGGATCATGCTTATTCTCACCAATCCTAACAACACCAACATCGTCCATGGACAATTTCTTAATACATGATGACAATGGTTTGTCCTTGATAAAATCCATTTTCTTATTATACTCAGGGGATATTAACAAGGCTACAGAAGCTTCATTGTCTATAACATGCCACTGGGTTGGTTATCAGTGTGTGTGTGTGTGTGTGTGTGGGGGGGGGGTCATGTTCCTCAATCTCCTCTAATTGCTCAATAATAACTTTTCTTACAGGTTTAGGAGCCATAAAGTAAGTAAGCAAGTTAGTCATATCATGTTCAGTGTAAATCCTTATCAGTTTATACTCCTTTACATACTGGGCAAGATTGAGGCCATCATCATCATTTCCTAGGGCCCATAATCCAAAATGCATGTCTCCTTTAGGCACTCGAAAATTATAGTAGATAATTGGAAAACTGAGTATCCTAACCCTTTCATAATTGCATTCATCTTATGGATAGAAAACTTCTCTATATCCACCATATCAACATATATCACAGTACCCTCAATGTAGTTGACATCTAGAAACTTTGTGAACTCGCCCCCATGATGTAGCTTGATGGTAAACAGTATAGGGTGTCCATCTTCAAGACAAGAGAAAAAACCAAGCGTCACACAGGATGATTTCTTGTAAACAAATCAAGTAAATGATCAAAAACAAAACCACGTACTATAAACCACCCTTGGATCGAATGATGTGCTTGACAACCTTAAGTGCCACATTGGTATATGCATTCACTATGAAAGTCTCCTGATCGAAGCTAATAACTTTGGTAATCAGATTAGGGTTCTTAATCCTTAGTCAACGACGAGGGAAATTTAATCGACTCAGAGTTTCTAAGGACTATAAATGTGAATTAGGCTCGATGTGGTCTGTATGGCAATAATTACATACGTACTCTCTTTTATTAGTATTAAAGAAGGGGAGTAAATAGGGAATTACCAAAATAACCCCAATTTGACTAGTCAAACATATATTAACATGTGGAAATAGATGGATGTTAACCCTTTGGACCAAAGAGGCAACAAAAATGAAAACTTTGGACTTATGGTGCTAGTCCAAACTTTTTTGGACCAAATTGACAATTTTGAGCAAACCACATGGACAATTTGTGTAGTTTAATCTTTCAGAATATACATATCTAATTCGTTTGAAGTTGTATTAGCATGCAGTTTAATTTCAAAATGTAGTTTAGGATTTGTACATGATTTTAAAGTATAATTTTGTCATTTTTGGTTTAATATTCAATAACTTACAGTCCGCTGAAGTCGGGATATGAAAGCTAAAAAATTTAAAATTCAATCGATTAAGTGATTACCAATAAATTCTATTTTTCCAAGGTTTTTGGGTTTTCCAGTTCTAGACCCAATTTACCCGGTTCCACCTAACCCATGCACTTTGACGTTTCTGATTTTCCCGGTTTTGGACCCATTTTACTCGGCATCTTATGATGAACAAACTTGGAATCGGTTCCTATATACCAGTCCGGATTCCGATCCTACAAAATCCTGTTAACCGGTTATTGGGTTTTCTGGGTCCGAGTCCATTCGAATCGGGTTTGAACCCACATCCGTAGTGGGCAGTAAACAGACTTTAAGATTACAATTAAATCTCATATTAAATTTCATTATTTGATTTGTACTTAAGTAGCACCTTTTTTCTTTGAGATTATAAACTTTTACTAATTTCAATGCCAAGTGTTTCATCATGTAATAATAAACTTAGTTCGTGGGATATTTTTTCTTCTTAATCACAATTATCAATTAACACGTTCTATTTTTAAGCCAACTAATTAAACATGTTAGTAAAATCCAATAAAAATTATCATCTTTGTTCATTCTATTTGTTTATTTATTGCATTAGAAAGACCATGCTTAATTGCATTATGGTGTTTTTATGGTTGGTATTTTTTTAGTCCGTTAAATATATAAATATATAATCTACTCCTAAATTAACACTTAATACTATTTATGTACACGATAGGACTTAAATCCTTTACCTCAAAGAAGGAGAACACCACCATTTAGCCTCCAACAATTGGTCATATTGTAAACTATCTTTCAAATTACTCGAATATAAGGTAATTATTTTCAAAACAAGTGTACGATTCTCTCATAGTACGTAGCAAATAGATGGTTACTCGTGAGCTACTGCAACAACTTGTTTCCCGACATTTTTACCAGTAAACAACCCAACCAATGCAGCCGGAGCATTCTCAAGCCCTTCAACAATGTCCTCAACATACGTTATCTTTCCTTCTTGAATGAGAGGCAAAACCGTTTCCAAGAACTTAGAATACAAGTGATAGTAATCTGGAGCCAAGAACCCTTCCATTCTAATACGATTCAAGATAAGGAACGCAAGATTATGAATGCCTTCATGTTGATCAATATTGTATTGTGAGATCATCCCACAAACAGCAATGCGACCTTTAACTCTCATGTTGACTAGTACTGCATCGAGCATCTTTCCACCAACATTCTCAAAGTAAATATCAATACCATCTGGAAAATGCCTGACTCAACGAAAGTCAATAGCTTGTGAGATATTGTCTTAATCTTCTTTTAAAGTTAAAGAAATCAAAACCTTTTCAAAGCAGCATTGAGGTCAGGCTCTTCTTTGTAGTTAAAAGCCTCATCGAACCCAAACTTGTCCTTTAGTAGATCGACCTGGTAATAATAATTGAATCCTTGAGATTTATAGGCATTAGCGACACATAATTCGGTCGATTTTGTTCTATTAAATTTCACCTTCTCTTTAGATCCAGCACTTCCAACAACATAACAGCCATAGAGTTTAGCAAATTGCCCAACAAGCTGACCAACAGCTCCAGATGCTGCTGACACGAACACGGTGTCTCCTTTCTTGGGTGAACAAATCTCGTACAATCCAACATACGCAGTCATGCCCGGCATTCCTAAACCATGCCCGGATTCAAGAACCACGTAATACTTTAACAAAAATTAATGTTTCGATCAATAACGTAACATACCGAGGATTCCAGTGTAGTAAGAAATAGGGACATTTGTATGTTCAATCTTTATCAATGACTCAGTATTCTTGATCAAGCTATACTCTTCCCAGTTAGTGGAAGGTCCTGATATCAAGTCACCTTTCTTGAAGTAGGGGTGAGTCGAATCCAAGACTTTTGAGACTCCATATCCGGATATAAGCTGCAGAATGAAATGAAACAAATTTGGTGGATAAATCCATTGGAAAAAAGTAATCTTTATAGTGAGTGAGTGATCGAGACATACCGAACCAGGAGTGAAAGAAGGTACGTAACTTCCTGTAAAGGTCTTGTTCATTCGACCCCTCATGTAGGGGTCACATGACAAATAGAGATTCTTTGATAAAATTACACCGCTATCATTCTTGGGTAGCTCCAAACGGATGATGGCATCGGAAGTTACCACCATGTCAGATTCTTTTGGGTATCCATTCACGTAGTCTTTGAATATCACTTGCTTGTTTCTCACCACCACCACCTCCGGCGACACGTCCACCACCTCTGCCATATTTTGGTTTATGGTGTAGATAACGGTTGGGTTCTTATCTCAACGAAGAAGGTGTAAATTTATTTAATATAAAAGTTTTATTGTTTCGAAAGTAGGATATGGTTAGGTAAGCCGGCATACAATCGTTGCATCCAAGAACATGAAGATCTACTTCTTAAATATTTTTATTTATCCTATATTTTGTTTTTTCTTTCGTTATCCTTACGTTGTTGTTGATTCTTTTCGATGCAATGATATCAACCACTGTCCAATGTTTATCTTGCATATAAATTTTCTAAGGATTGTAATTGTAGTGTGCGTTTCCCGCGTGTTGACATTTTCTTTAAATACTAACAGAACATCCCAATTCAAACATCATCATGGTGTTCGATTGAATGTATAATATTGAACTTACTGATAGGATATACGATTTTTAGAGGTGATTAGGAAGTAGAAGATGATTATGTGATTGATTCATTTCTTCAATCCCTTGTTGTAAGGGCGCATGCACCAAGTAGTGAATTTTTTTTTTTTTTTTTGGTATACACATACCTCAAAGTTGGTTGCGCCTTAAATGAATTCTCTCTCTCTCTCTTGTATCCTTTGCAAAACTAAGCAAGAGCTTAAAGCCTCCAATTTTAAAGCTTGTTGTGTTATATATGTATATATACGTAATTCTTGGGATATAAAGAAAAGATGATGTGATAGTAATATGACAAGTAGGTTGGGATGGATGGTAGGGGTGAATTCACCGCACCATAATATATTTTGAGATGAAGGTAGTGGTTCCTTCCTATTGGGTGGGTAGGTGGTGGAAATATCCTTCTTAAACTCTCGTTGCGATGAGGAATCAAGGAAACAAAGATGGGGAAGTAATAGAGTACAATGGATCATGCATTGCAATGGTGTATCCCCTAGTTCTATGAATGTAGTCTTTAAAAGATTGAGTTTTGCTATACAAAAAGGCTTAGCGGCGCAGCTTGTTACCCGTTTGCCATCTCACTTGTTATACGATGATAATTAAATTAATCCAAAAAATAGTTAATTTCATGGATCTCAAGCTTAATTAGGAAATTTAAGACAAAAAGTCATGAACAAGTTGGAATAACTCAAAAAGAGAGTGGCACCCAGCTATTGGGAGCATCTGTTGTATTTGTAGAAGAACCATATGGTCTTGGATTAGCCCCCTTTCACATGACCTAAAAAGAAAAAGAAGTGCATTCTATTAAAAGGCCTCTAAGCTCCTCTCGTGGGACACTGTTGTTTTGCCCATGGGGATGAGCTACCACCAACTTACAAAAAAATTCAAAGATTCACCAAAAGAGCTGTTCAAAACCCACAATTCCTTCAGAGGACCCTCTATCCCCTCTATGGTTTATACTCATCGGATGAGTGGCATAGAGAGGCATTAATCCCTACCAAATATTTATGGACTCTCCATCTTTTGATTTCGAATGGGACATCCTGAACTCTAAAAATGGTTGGTACTTGTAACATTTTTTTCGGGTATATCTTCCTTTTAAGACCATTGCTTAAGACATAAGTTTTAGGAGTTTGACTGGTCGTGGCGTGGTGATGAATTACCACGGCGCAAGCAACGCCGTTAAAAATGGATGCATCATCTTACATGAGTGCGGTACGGTGCATGTATGGCCACGACACGGTAATGATGGAGGGTTTAAAACCTTAGATTCCGGGATTTGAGCCCTATTTAAGGGCACTAACATCAAAGGTTGCCTAATTCGGTATCCTCCACTCTCTAAGATGCTTACCCTCCCAAATCCTAGCCTCCAACCTTGATTCTTGAGCTTGTTTTTGTTGAATTAAATATCCAAGCCCATAACTATCATTTGTATATATACGTGAATTAATAATAGCACGGTCATTTAGGGTTGCCCTCAAACCTAACAATTGGACAATATAACTTTTAGAAAGAGAGAGGTTAATTTATTATTTGATTATTAAATTGAATAAATAGTTTATTAATATATTATGGAAATAATATATTAATTAGAAAAGGTATTCTTTAATTAATAATTGATCAGAAGTTAATTAGAATTAATTTTGGGATTAATATAATTAATTAAAAGTGCAGGGTCTGAAGTGTAATTCTTTAATAGTTGAGCAAAAGGTTCCAGAACCTTCCATCTTATGGGTTGGATGGTTTTTGAAGATATTTTAGGGTTTCTAGAATATCACATGTGGATAAATAGGAAGTTGAATAATTACAACATTGAATTAATATTATTTAATTCAAATTAGGGTTATCTAAGGTTTCCTTGTACAACTATATAAAGGACCCTAGAACTTAGAACTTCGGCCACTCATTATTAACCAAGGATAGTCGAAATTTATACCTCCACTCTCCTCCTTCAAGTCATCTTCTTGCTAGCTTGGGTGTGATTCCATTAGAGGCACAATATTTGTTGTGCTAACTTCCAAGAGATCTACAAGTGAAGGATGATTGTTATTTACTACAATAACATTAAAGTATATGATTCTAAATCTTGTTTTAGTATTTTCGAAAATAGCCTATATTATGTATGGTTTGTTATTTGATGTTAAGAGTTGTAACACTTCAAAAATCATACAAATTTTAAAATTTTAAAATCAACCATTAACCAACAATGTTTACAAAAAAGTCATTGTTTCAAAAGTATTATTCAAAACTAGAGTTTTCGCAAGACCCAATGTAACGTCATAAATTTCAAAACCAATTTTTCATTTTTACAATCATTAAAAACATCGAGTAATAAAATTTAGGTTCCAATGTAACAATTTAGTCACGACCAAATACATAACAAGATCACAAAATGATTTCCCCGAGTGTGTGTACGATCACGCCGGCGCCTTCCCACGGTCCTCGCTAGTACCTGAAACACATAACACGACAACTGTAAGCATAAATGCTTAGTGAGTTCCCCAAAATACAACCTACGCACATACGCCTTTCCAGGCCTTGACCTTCCGGTCCATGTGTCTCAGGCGACTTCCGTTCCGCCTGGGTAAACCTTCCGGTCCTACCCACGTCAACCTTTCGGTCCATATGACCACGCCTTCCGGCCCATAACATATTGCCTTCCGGCCCATATCAAGCATATCACACATGGCACATATAACGATTAACTTATTACACATAAGGCATATATCTCATATCACGTTTGACCTTCCGGTCACACAGTCAAACCCTTCCGGGTACAGTATAGTGAGAAGACTTACCTCGTATGTCTCGCTAATTCGTGAACCCTGGAATCACTCGTGCTCGAACCCCCGAGCTGTAATCCTCCTATGACATCATGAATCTATAGTTATTACTTGTACCACTAGGGTTGACCATTCTCATCAAGTCAACACTGGTCGACTTGGTCAACAGAGTTTGGTAAAATTGACCGGACTCGGCGAGTGCACTATAATGACTCAGTGAGTCTACGCGTTTTCTCCAACTCGCAGGGATTTCCCCTTTGCTTCGTCGAGTACTTCCCAGACTCGACGAGTTCCACCTGGGCATGAATCACGGGGCCACCGCGACTCAACTCGCCGAGTCGCAAGGATAACTCGGCGAGTCCAAACTCGAATCGGTCCACCTGTCAAAACCTTTCTAACTCTCCGTGACTCAATGAGTCACCTATAACTCGGCAGGACTACACACTGGGTGGTCACAAGGACAATCTTCAAGCGACTCGTCGAGTCTGTTCTTCAGTCTCGGCGACTCCATGCCATGCATCAGCTAAAACTGGCTTTTGCAGTCAGATCCGTTCCATACACACATAGATCTGGCCTTCCCAAGCTCATTTGTCACGTAAAGTCTCAGTCTTGGTCGCCATGCAACGCATACAAGGCTCATTTTGGAGAAATAACCTCTAATATGGCAACCCTAGCTTCCAACTCAAAAGAATGGACATAAAGCTTGTCATTTGGGGCCTTCTGGACCTGCTAAGGTCCAGATCTAGGTTCCATACCTCCATGGGACCTTTCATACTTCCAAATCAAGCCAAATAAGGCAAGAAGAAACCCTAGAATTGACACATCAACCAAAATACGAAGTTTTAGCTCTGAAAGTTACCTCAAGAAGGTTCCCTTGATGAAATAGAAGCAGATCCAAGCTCCCCAACTCTTCAAGCTTGATCTTCTCCTTCCTTTTTGCAAAAATCACACAAAATGATGAACAAATGGCCTCTATCTCACTCAAAAAGTCTCACAGCCGTTTGGGTGCACTCAGGGCTCAAGGTGGCTGAAAATGAAGGCCATAAGGTCCTTTAAATAGGGCTTAGGACCTGAAAATTAGGGTTTCATTAAACAGCGCGGACTCGCCGAGTCCATCCCTTGGACTCGCCGAGTCCGGATGCGAACCTCCGTCCAAAACCGCGACCCGACTCGGCGAGTTCGACCTCCAACTCGCCGAGTCCCCTCACAGAATATCAAAAATATGAAAGTAAAGATACCTGGGGATCCGGGCTGTTACACCCAATAACACAAAACAGGAAGATGTGCATGATCTCGCATTCGCTTTCCCACGATTATCAGAAGTACCTGAAACAATAAATTGAAATTGTAAGCTAAAACTTAGTGAGTTTACCTAAAGTACCGTCACACAACATATAAAATACATAGATTAGCATGTTGGGTCCACAACTTCCCGGTTGGCTTACCATGGCGCACAACCTCCTGGTTGGATTACCTGGCATACCACATACTGGGTCCATAACCTCCCGGTTGGATTACCCTTGGCCCACAACCTGCCCATAGGATTGTCCCGGTCTGTTGACTGGAAGAACAAAGTAGTAGTCTCAACCAGTAATCATAAATAGTCCTATAGATCTACCAGTCTAACGCATATCAATAACTATCAGATAATCAAACTAGTTTATCGCATGCACAACATATCATAACTCAATATCTAACATGATATCAATCCATTGGGTTGGCCTTGGTGCCTTCGACTTGTAAGTACAGTGAGGAAAACTCAACTCTCAGTCTGAATGCAAGCTAAATAAATCTTTGCTCTGAAACTCGACTCTACTCGACACATATTATCTAGAATATTGCCCAAA